CCAGGTCTTTCAGCCTAGCTCGTTTGCATTTCTCCTGGGCAATGCTCTCACCGACTTCTTTTATTACGTCATCAAATGGCATGTTTCACTGAGTTAGAAGCTGAAAAATATTAACAGAAAACATGTTTGGACATCAACCGACAAACTGGCTTCCAAGTGATTCTCTCCACTTTGGTAAGTTACACTCTTACAATAGCAGGTTGCTTTTAGCTCCTGAAGGGACTACCCTGAGCTTTATAACTAAATAAAGGTGTCTGTCTGTCTGTCTGTCTGTCTGATTCGCGCCCTTTTTCTTGTTTGGGTAGACAATAGACCACTTTTCTGCTCGGTGACCTGGCCTTTGGATGGCAGCGAGGCTGCAGGTGGCCTTGCTTTGATACAGACCTCTCTGCTTTGTCATGTAAATGCACCTATAGTTGGCATTAGAACAACTTGATTTATACAACAAAAGCAGAAAGGTCTTTATCAAAACAAGGTCATCTGCGGCCTCTCTGCCATTTAAAGGTCAGGTCAATGAACAAACAACTCTAAAGTGGTCTATCAATTAAGAAAAAACACAGTTTGGAAACAATAACTCGTGCCCTCTCCCGAGACAATATAACATTCTTTTAAACAAACACTAATGCGTTCCTTTGCAGTTAGTCACTAATTTTACCACTTTTAGCATTCTTAAGAACATTCTTTGACGGGTATTTTTTATTTTATGCGAATCACTCTCTTAATTTAAATTTCAACGTTCCATTTTATCACAAAATTTTTATCCTTCGAAGACAGCAGAGTGGCTGTGGAAAGCTTCATTCAATGTGCGAAGAGGGAGCAAACAGAGAACTTTTCCAGGTCAAACAGTTTATTTAGACGTTTCGCTTGTTCGGGCTACTTCATGAAAACGTGCTGTCACGTATAGATTAAAAATAATTGGTTTTTGCAAGGAAGTAGCCAAGAGCTTTCAAAGGAGGAGGGGGGGTGCACCATGTCAAAGTAGGGCACTCACCAGAATGTCATGTGACCTCCACACTTGTTGTAGGCTGTTTGTTTGAAAAAGGCTAACAAAACGGGGAGTGAGGGGTGTGTCACGGGCACAACAGGACCACCCCGTAGCTACACTCTCTAAAATAGGCTAATATTACAATGCATTCAAAATGACAATTAGAAACAATAAAATTAACGGTGTAATAAAACCACTTCACCACTAGGGTATTATGTAATTACAAACGATAATGGAAAAAAGTACGTGATGCCGTGAGAAAATCCTAAATCAGAGCCCTTGAACAAAGATGTTTTTCAGCATCATTTTTCGTAACAGGATCCGAAAAGAACGGCCTTTGAATGGTTAATGACAAAATCCTAATTGTCGGCCCCTGAACCCCGGCATTGTGTCTTGTAGATCTTTTTTACTGTCAACTATTAGTATAGGACATGGGAGTTCAAACGCATTATGCCAAAAAATGGTTTACGATACCAGCACATGGCTCCATTCGGGCATAGCTTGTTCGGCAGCGCAGAATAAAGAAGTAAGTAAGTAATTAAGTTAGTTAGTTAGTAAGTAAGTAAGTGAGTAATTAAGCAATTTAGATAGAGGGGGTAACACTAAATAGCTAAAAAGCTAATAAACTTGTGGCCCTCAAAAATCATAAAAAAAATTACAGAATAGAATTACCTAAAAACAGTACTATCTAATCTAGAAATTCTACTAAATATTACTGAAATTTAATGAGGTGATAATAAGTAAGTAAGCAATTTATCATAGAGGGTAACACTAAATAGCTAAAAGCTAATAAACTTGTGGCCCTCAAAAATTACAAAAAAAAAATTACAGAATACAATTATCTAAAAACAGTACTATCTAATCTAGAAATTCTATTAAATATTAAATTAAATAAGGTGATGATGTTAAATCAAATAGGTGATAAGATAAGATCTATTGTTGGATAAATATCTTATTGCATTTTTTTTTATATTCATCCCAAAGTGGCCACATGTCATTAAAACTCAGTCCTCTCAGAAAGGATAGTAAATCAGTCAAAATCTTTTCATATGTCGTGTGAGCAAATTTACACATTTCAATCTTTCTTTTATAATTCTTAGCTTCTGAAAACGGTTTTAGTAAAATGCTTGATCCACCAGTACAACGCCTAAAATAATTGGGTTAAGCGTCAAGGATGAAGCTATGCCTCCCGTTATAACAAGGCTTAAGGAACCAATGTTACATGCTAGCTCAAGCTTTTTGAAATATTTATAAGCCATTTTGAATAACCAGTATTTTAAATTGAATTAAATTGAATAACCAGTGTTGTATAATATTGGTCTAAAGCTTTCAGTTCTGATGTCTCAGAGCTGGATCAATATGATTGAAATTGAATATTGACTTTAGTGCTTTCATATATATGGTTTAGATGTTTTATTTGATTTTTTGTATAAGTTACCATAACTCAGGCCATCAGATTCTCCTCCATTGCTAATTGTAATAGCATGTCTTTGAGTACTTGCCGTTAGATGTGTAACAAAAATATGGAGAATGAGTACCATAGAAGACTCTTTCCACGTTCATAACCAGTACGATTTACGTCTACAATTTCCTGATTGCTCTACACCCCGTCACTAATATTTGTTGAACGAAACCAAATAGATCCTCTGTTTTGACTGTTTGCGAAACTGAAAAAGCCAAATTTCATAAATTGCCGACTTTTTAAAAACGAATTCGTTTTTCACAATGGAAAGTGAGATGTGTCTGACATAATTGAGGAAGATGTTAATTTGGATGCAATTTTTACCTCTCTTGCATTATTATGAATTAGATCGCGACATAAAAAATTATTGGTTCATAATCGTTATCAATTTTTTGAATGTCAAGATCATATACTTTTTTTGTAATGTTATTTTGATCATTAACAGCACCTTTTATTTCAACGGGTGTTTCAAATTTAATGGTATTGTCAACTATTTCATAAACCTGATCCCAAACACTCGTAAAAAGGTTAGCTAGCTATAGAACGGGAGCAAGAGGAGACCCCATGGTGGAGAGACTATGATCACAGAAAAAGCCATTAAATAAGAAATGAGTCTGAGCGGTAGCTCCAGTGAAGAGGCTTCTAAGTTCAGATTCACTTAACTTAGGGTCAGGGTTGCCCTTGGAAATGCAATTGACCGCTCGGTCAATGCACTCCTCAAGGGGTATGTTGGTAAAGAGACTTTCTACTTTAAAAGAGATCATATATTTACCAAACATAGATAATGTTTGGAGATGGGGCATCAAGAAAAACTGTGGCTGGAAAATTTTCAAGGCTCCGAAATTTTATTTTGTGGTGGATATGTTGACGACACTTGCTGTTTATCTCACTCGGAACATGATGCCATTTTATTTTTCGACTACGTCAACTCTAGACACCCCAACATTAGCTTTTCTATGGAAAAAGAAGCTCATCACAAATTACCCTTTTTAGATGTTCTAGTTGATAATAATGATCCTAATTCTCTTCTAACTAGAGTTTACAGCAAGAAAACCTTTACTGGGTTATTAAATAATTTAATCAGTTTCATCTCCTCTTACAAAGTGGGTCTCATCAGGACTCTTGTTGATAGGGCCTATAAGATTAACAACTCCTGGTTGGGGCTTCACGAGGACATTACTAAGCTCATGGATATTTCCGTCATCTGTGATCTATTATTGAATAGACGCATGGCAACATGGAATCTATTTGCTGATCATATATTGAGGAATTATGGTGAGCGGATTTAGTTGAAATGCAGCAGTTCAGTAAATGGAATTAAGGATACAGATATCTTCTGATGGTTTTAGATGTTTTCAGTAAATATGGTTGGATTGTACCGTTAAAGTATAAAAAAGGTGAAAATGTAATAATAATAATAATAATAATAATAACAACTTTATTTAAGTGTCGTATGTATATAGCACTGCGGTAGTGCTAATTGGAGACACTGTGAATAAGAAACTGAATATTTCAAATTGGACATGAACTAACTCAAGCATTTAAAAGACTGTTAAAAAAGGGTAGAAAACGGCAATATTTATGGATTGATAAAGGTAAAGAATTCTATAATAAGCACTTGAAGGACTTATAAAGCTTTTGCACGGCAGCCATGTTGCATGGCAGGAACAAAGAAAATATTTTTGCATAAGACAGAATATTTTTTCCCACAGGAAAAAAGAATATATTGTTCCTGTCATGTGCAACATGGCTGCCGTGCGAAACCTCGTTTAGCGAAATATAACATAAAAGTGTATTCCACTAGGAATAAGGAAAAAAAGTAATGCACGTTTGTGAACGATGGAAGGGAACAATTAAAACCAAAATGTGGAAGCAGTATACTGTTCAAGGTAATACACAGTATTTAGACATACTACCTGAAATATTAAAAAAAGTATAATAACACTTAACATAGTTCAATCAAAGGACACCTGTAGAGGCCAGTAAAAAGAAGAATGAAGGAATAGTGTATTTTAATCTGTATGGTAATATGGAATCATCAAAACCAAAGTTCAAAGTGGGTGATAAAGTGAGAATTATAACATAGCTACATGCTTGCGCGCGCTCTGACTGGCTAATATTTTATTTTATAACATAGACAGGAGGCTGTGCGCTCTGATTGGTCAAAAACCTATGTTTTATCAGAGTATAAAACATAGAAAAAGCGTGTTTTATAGTTTTGCGCGCATAAAATCTATATCATAAAGCAAATGAAGAAGCCTAAGCCGTGTATTACACTGTGATAAAACACTCCAGTCATTTGAGAACACTCGAGAAATGTAGAAAACACTCGCCTGCGGCTCGTACTTTCTACATTTCCCTCGTGTTCTTAAATGCCTGTCGTGTTTTATCACAGTGTAATACACGGCTTAGGCTTCTTTATTTGTTAAAAAAAGAAATGGATGATTCATAGAGATGGTTCAGGCTGACGTTATAGTCGGTGAAATTTCGACTTTTTAGCATGAAAAATGTCTCGCTACGTTCTAAAAGCAATGGACAATGTCTAGCGTACGTCCATCCAATTTGGGATGCACTTGGATAGTTGGGAGAGCACTTAGGTAGCTAGAGATGCTCGAGGCTACGTCTCGAGCAACTCTTACGCTACCTTCGTGCTCTCCCAACTATCCAAGTGCATCCCAAATTGGATGGACGCATGCTAGACATTGTCCATTGCTTAAATGTACGTATACATTAGAGTGGCCATTCTGTCTACTTTTGCGCACTCGACATTTATAGTATCCAGTATTCATCAAACAACCATATGTCGGTTTTTGCTTAATTATATTGATTATTTTACCACATTTAGGTCCTGCATACAGATTACAAACAGGATGGGTTTCATATTTATTCTATTAACGATAACAGTTCTCATAATTTTCGCTACAACTATTAGTAACCATTTACTTTTACATCTAGTTTGTTTAGGGAAAAAATTATGAAAAAAATGAATTTTTGAAATGCTTGCATTTAGAATCTCATGATATTTGCCGATGGAAATTCATAATTATTGTGAAAAGAACTATAATATAGATTGTAAAAGTTTTAGGAAAAACCAAAAAAAAACATTTAAACAAATATCTAGTAATATGAGTGAAAAAATGATCTCAACGCATAATAAAGGAGATATGTCAAACTCAAAAAAAATGAAAAGTAAAATGAATGGAAAAGTTTCTTTGAATACATTGTGAATAAGTAGTTATATGAATAAGTCTAATTTACAGAAATTGTTTAAATCTCAACTTATTGATTTATTGTTGACAAAAGTCATACATAACCAGTTCCCAAACCAAGAACTGTAAAATTGACTAAACCAATACCATTGCCCAGAAAATCTGTTGAGCAAATGATTAAAGAATACGAGGAAAATATTATTCCTCCGCCAGTTGAATTTAGAGATGATTGCAAACTGATAGCAAAACCAAGAACTGTCAAACCAATTCTAACTCCAAGGACTAAAATAACAAAACTGGCTCAAGCTCTGAAGGATAGTGCAACATCATTTGAAGTAGACTTAAGACATAACAAAGATCCCGCATTGCTTCAGTTACAAAACGCGAGAAAAGCGATAGAATACTATTTCAAAGCTTCATCAGAAAACATAAAAGGATTTAAATTCAATGAAACACTGAAGGTGACTTTCAAAAAAAGTATCAAGTGATGGAATAACATACAAAACCGCTTATTTCAACAGCAAAGCTAAATACGTTACAAGTGTTAATGAACTGCATCAAAAAAGCCTCATAAGAAGATATATTAAATAAAATTGCAACATGGAAATCGCAAGGTTCAGGTTAGACTATTGATAAAATAAACAATCATTATATAAACATCGTCAAGTACAATACCTCTGAAAGGATCATCATACATCCGACTACCCAGAAAATTGAGAAAGGACTTATAAACATGGAAAACGAAGATAATGAATGCTTCAAATGGAGCCATATTAGGCATTTAAATCCGCAAGAAAAAGATCCACAAAGGATTAAAAAGTCAGACAAAGCATTCATTAATAAGTTAGATTATTTAAACATTGAATTTCCTGTCAATGTCACTGATGTCAAACAGTACAACAAAGTGGAAAAGCAAAATAATATCAACATCAATGTCTTTGGATATGAACTTGAAATAGAACAACCATATTCAATATATGTTTTTAAAGAAAAGTTTGATGATCAAATGAATCTTTTATTAATAACAGAAGGTTAAAATAAACGTTATGTTTTGATAAACGAATCATAAAGAAAGAAAGCCGTTTTTGTTGTATTGTTTACAGTGTTTTAGTAAAGAAAGTGTTCTCAACGAACACAAGACTGAATGTATGGTTGTTAATGGTGAACAAGCTATCAAAATACCTGATAAAGGTGAAAAGATCATGTTTCAAAATCACCAGACAGTTGCCTGTACCATTTGTGAAATATAGTGATTTTGAAGCTATAACAGAAAAAGCACAAGGTTATTGTACAGTGGAACCCCGTTAATACGACCACCTTCGGGCCATGGAAACTGATCGTATTAACGAGTTGGTCGTAAGACCAGTAAGATATGATTGAAACCATTTTAAGCTTATGGAGTCAACCATATAGAAAATGAGCTTTCTAAGTGGTATTTCATGATCAACAGTATCGAAGCTTTTTTAAGATCGAGAAAAAGAACTTTTTTTAGTAAGCCATTATCCATATTAGAAAACCAATCATTGGTTATATCTAGAAGGGCAGTCAAAGTGGAATGACAAGGTCGAAAGCCCGACTGAGCATCGGCAAGTAAGTCATGCCTCATTAAAAAATCATATAACTGGTTGAAGACTACTCTCTCAATAAGTTTACTGACAATCGGCAAGACAGATATAGGTCTATAGTTGTTTGGATTAGTTTTGATATCATCCTTGTGAATAGGAGTGATTCTGGCTACCTTCCAATCATCAGGAAAAATACCGGTAGTTAAGGATTGATTTATGATGTAGGTCAAGGATGCAGAGACAATAGGTCCCGCCTCTTTTAATAGTTTAGCGGAAATACCGTCAAGACCACTTGCCTTGTTCGGCGGTAACGATTGAATCAGTTTTAGTACGATATCATTAGATGTTTTAGTTAGGGAAAAGACATGTGGAAGAGGAAGAACATAGTCAGTAAATTTTGCGTCTGTGAGGGGAATCTCATTTGCTAAAATTGGCCCTACGCTACAGAAATGGTGATTTAGCCTATTACTGATTTCATCAGGGGTAGTGTAAATGGTATCGCCAAGTTTTAGGCTATGGATTCTGGTGGCTTGCGGTATTTTACCGAAAATGGTATTAATCCCTTTCCATGTGTTCTTAATGTTACCCCGGTTGTTCTTGAAAAACGAATTATAATGTGAGACTTTTGCCTTTTTTATAATAATAATAATAATAATAATAATAATAATAATAATAATAATGATAATGATAATGATAAAATATAAAAACTTTATTGAAATTTCACAATAATTACTTATAAGATTAAAAAGGCTAAAAGAACTGAGTAGGGTATAATTGATAATAATAATAATAATAATAATAATAATAATAATAATAACAATAATAATAATCGATGTTTAAACAGGGTAACCCCTTCAGTCACAGGACTGGTATCAACGTGGGCCCTGTATAACATTAAAATAAAAGAGAGTAGATATAGCAGTGTTGACCTTATTTCTCAAAGCGTTGAAGTGCATCCAAGTTTCGCTAGACCCCGCCCTAGAAGCGAGTTTTTTCGCTTTGTCTCTCTCAAACATTAACTTTTTGAGATCAGGGGTAAGCCAGGGAGAGTTTGTATTTCGGACCTTCTTTCGACGAAAAGGTGCATGTGAATCGCATATGTTCAAAAACATATTTCTCCAGAAATTCCAGGCTACGTTGGGATCTGTTATATTCTCTACAGACTGCCATGGAGCTAGGGCTAAATCTCTTCGAAACATGGTTGGGTCAAAGTTTCTTAGCTGTCTACTGTTTATAATAGTAGGAGCACCAGCAGGGATGAAAGCTTTCCTGATGGCGTAGATGAGACAATGGTCACTTACTGACTACATGAGATCTTTTTCAGTTTCAGACAAAACATTAGGCATCATTTACTAAGGTAAATACTGGATAGGTCCCTCGACAGGTTTGAGAATTATCATCATCTCTTTGGTCCATATTTGAAAGTAATCAGTTACGTTTTTGTTTCTTCATTATCATCATCTGAATTTTGTTTAAGATGATCTTCTAGACTTACTAAACTGCTTAAATAATAGGCTCAATTAAGTAGTTGAGATAGAGATTGTTTGCTGGGGAGTTTGACTTTCCTTCCTCATTTTGTTGCCCTTTCAGTAGTCCCTGGTACTGTTTTTTCTTTGCTGCCTCTGAAATAGCCTGCGTTGCAGACAAACTAAACCCCGGTATAGTCCGTCTGCGAATCAGCGACCAAAAGCTTGTTCCGCTCCCCGCGTGTTACCGGGGTTTTTTATAATAGGTTCTAATTGGCGCTTGCATATGGCTGTTCTTTCGTGCACCGTAATTGGACGAGTGGATCTCGTGGAACCATGGTTACGCTCTCGATGAATACCAGATGCTCAACATAAACATGGCGGCGGTCACGAATTATCTGAAGACGCATATTTAAATGCCAAAGTTTAACTGAAATGTTGTTCGAAGTTGCTAATGCAATGGTATGTTTATTTTCTTTGCCGCTTTGAACGTTTGGTTAGCATTCATAGCCCCACAGGATTTACATTTTAAGCACTTGTCATGTATGTATGTTTTGGTTTAGAATGAACAATATCCGCGACAATCGGCAGGCATCGAAAGATGAAAGATTTTCCGAAACCGGTAGGGAGATTTACAAAGATATCGTTGCCCCCAAGAAACCTTCACAGATTCCTGTTGCTCGGAAAGATTGTCAGATAGTTCTTCCATCACAAATAAAACTGCTTATCATCATTACGAACCAAAGCATCTGATCATAAACTGCTTTCTTTATTCTCACGGGTCAAGAAATTGTAAATAGTTTGTAAATGAATACTTCAACCTAGTAAAAGTTCACATTGAGTCTGTGCCCAGCAATTCCATTTTGGGCGGTGAATATCTTCTGGAACTGCACATCTAGATTTAGTGAGCAAGAATATCGATATTTATCCTAACAATTAGCCTGATTTTCTTTTGGAAGCTGAACTGATAAATAAGCATTAGAGCACTTTTTTCAGTATATATCAATGAAAGGAATTTCATCTGTTGGTCTGAAATAAAATTATTAAAATTATTAAATAAAATTATAATATATTAATATAAAATTAAAATAAAACTATATATAATATAATATTGTTGATATGTCTTTAAAGGGTTAACAAAGATGTAACAGCCGCAGTATGATTTCATGCCTGTTCAAGACTATGCTCTAGCAGCACCCAAAGGGACCGGTTTTCGTCTTTCACGACAAGAAAAACATACCTACTCGCCCGGCCAGGTGACCTCCTTTTGAGGTTTAACTTAGAGATAACAACAGCTATCTTTTCTTTTTAATTTCTTGTGTTGTGTTGAAGTTTTCAAGGCAAATTCGCTCAATCCAGAATGTTTAAATCCATCTGTGGATTCAAAGTCAAAACATTGGTCGTTCATTGGCTCGGTACGATGCTGACATTTAACACTGGCCTGCAGTGTTAGTTAGCTGTAGTTCTTGTGGTCTGTATAATGTGCATAAAAAGTTCCTAATTGAAAACGAAGAATGTGAACTAAATTAACAGACGCACGGAGGGCAAAGATGGAAAAAGACTTAATTTTTTACAGGTATTAACCATTTTAACTCAAAAAAAGTGTCAATTTTGTCTTTCTTTGTGGACTTTCGATAACAGTACGTTAAAAAATTGCATGTGAACCTTTTATCTTTGGCATCTGTAAATAGGATAAAAGCCCTAGAAACAATGCAAGACATATTTATTTGAGGTTCAATCTGTTATCATATATTAATTAACAATGTTATGAGATAATTATAATTAATTAATCAATTAGTAATAATACATTTGATTTCGTTTTTAGTTTGGGCTACTAGGCTTGACTTCTGGGCACCCTAGCCTACAAGGTTGGGTACCCGAAGTGTTCCCTAGCATTTTTTCTCAGAGCACAGCCTTGACTGTTCTTGTCGGTCAATATATAAACAATGTACACATGAGCAGCCTGGATTAAAACCTCAACGAGTTTCAAAGCAACCATGGCCATGAGATATTTCTAAAAGAATATAAATTTAAGGTCCTTATGATTGCTATAGGCACTGAGGGTTTATTGTAAACAATATCTTACTGAGTGTATTTTTCTTGTGTACTGATTGACGTTGTAGATCACAGAGACCACTCAGTGTTATGACAGAGACATAAATGTGTAAAACCTTCTATAAACATTTAATAATTTATCATGGATATACATATACATACATGTGAAAGAGTTGAATAATTTATTACTTTGTTTGGTTTTTCTGTATTTACAGACAACTTGATGTGATTATAATAAGTTCATTGAACAAACTGACTCGGAGGTTGAGTTCTGCATTCCATCCTTTGTGTAGACTAACATAGCTGAAACATTGTGACAGATACACTGTAATAAATTTTTAAGAAACACGTAATATTAACAGTTATTAAAGTGCCTGTTAAAATAATCAGTGTTTCTTAGAGATAATCTAATCATGTTTTTTAAATAATTGCTTTTTGGCTTAAAAGTTATATTTATTGCGCTTGGTTTGTGGTGCTTTTAAATCAATTTTGTGATAATCTGGATTGGGCATGGCCAACACAAAATGGACTGGGTCTTAAGCAAAGTTGCAGGACTAGCATTTTGTAGAAAGAGAAGGTTGAGAAATTTTGTGACATTCTACAAACAGCCTTGCCATTTGCAACATTCAAGAAGGTTAATTTGTTCCCTAGTGTTGTACAAATAGTGTTGATCTCTAATTTATAAATTATTTCAACCTGTTGTTTAAATGATTGCCTTATAACCCAATGCCCAGCTTTGGTGCATGTAGGATATTGATGTATTGTTGATCCAGTTTGGTGTAAATTATTTTTAATTGATGTGTCAATCAAAATATATCTTGGATATGTTGGGTTCCTCTCACAAGTATACCTATGCGTCATAACCTTTGAGTGCATTTGGCTGTGTGGTGCAGACAAAATACTTGTACATAATATAACTTACTCATAGCTTACTTATTATTCTTGATATAATTTCATCATAGCAAAATTATTCAATGGAACCCAATTACAGCTGCTGTAGTCCACAATCTTAGTCGAGAAAAAGAACAACTCACATTGAGATTGAATAATACAATTATTTTTAGAAGCCTATGCAAGTATTCATGATCAGCGACAAAATATTGTATTTACCGTTCATGCTAGAGTGATTTTGCTTATACTTATACTTTGAGAGATAATGCGAACCCTTCCAACAAGAGAAAACTCCAGATAAAAGTGACGATGGCTAACTTTAAATTTAGTTTTATGAAGAGAATAGTTGGGTAATGGAATCGTCTCCCTCTTGATATTAGAGAAGCATCCTCTGTGGCAGATTTTAAGCTGCAGGTTTCAATATTATTAACTGATTGAATTTCTGTACATATATGTTGGATTTTTTTGTACATATTAGTAGGTTTATAGGTAGGCTGGAAGTTTCCTCCTAGAATGGTGCTGTGGTGCTTTTTGAGGATTCATTTCGATTTCAACACATTTCGATATAAATATATATATTTTTGTTACTGTTCTTGCTGCTGAAATATATAAAGCTTAATTAAAGGCAAATTAAAGACAATTTCGGGATCAAGTTAGGAAACAAAACCTTTTCAACTTTTCAGATGCGTATACTAGAGATTTACACACTATTTAGTTTTCATCATCACATCATCTTACACCTCGGTCTGCTAATGTAATCCTAGTTCGTATTGAAACTATAAAGTCGTTCGAAATTTATCTTACATAAAAATTCTCTGTCTTTGGCCATCGTAGCTTAATAATAAATAGCACACAAACTGCAGTTAC